ATTATTTTATCACTAAGGTATGGACTACTTGGGAGGTAAGAATGGAACGACTAAATACAATACCAACAACTGAATTTTTTTTATATCGTTGGGCAAATAATAATTTGACAATAAGAATGAAATTCTCTAGAATATTGGAAAGAAACCTGACATTACATCTAATTAATCATATATTTAAACGAAATTGACACTTATACTTTTGTGTGCCATGATGACATTCAACGTTAAATCAGTGTTTCGAATATAGGAAAAAGTGTCTAATTTGAGAGAGGAGCATATTTATTGAACCCCAGCGTAAGTGCTAAAGCAAGTGTTGTTTGCTTTCAATATAATGATCCAATGGTGATATTTAATAAAACACCCTTTAAACACCCTATCTTCATTTTTATAAAAAGTCAACTTATAATCAACTACTTGTAATCAGTTTTTTCGGAAAACAATGCAATTTCAACCAATAAAAGTATTTAAAAAATTAATTAGGGTTATCTAAATGGTAAAATAAGATGTCTTTTTAATCAACCCCTTTAATTTATTAGAAGTTATTAGGTTATAACCAGTGGACATCATAGATTAGAATTTAATTTTTTTAATTAAATTGTATTTATTTAATAAGATAACAACATAACTATTGGTTAATAATACGAACTAGTAGTGGTTTGAATATGCAATTAACATTTTGTATGTGTAGATATGCAAAGAAATTATAATTTTATGAAATGAAATATAAAACTAACAAATAACAAATAATGAAATTTAAATGAATAATAAAATTGTAGAAATTTTTTTACAAATTTCTAAAAAAACTTCTTTATACACAACATTAGAAGTTTTATTTGTCAGTCTATCATCCTTATCTAAAATCAACAATTTTAATCATTCTCTATTTTGAACTCTGGATAAAACAACATACAATTGACCATGTTTGAAAACAGGCTCTTTGAGGAACAAACCAAAAATTCGATAAATACTTGTCCTTGGTTCTTATTAATTGTCATTGCAAAACACACAGCCAATGAAAATTGTCTTCTTTGGGATTTGAACGGGATCTTGTCTTCAGAAGGAGTTAAAGACATTCTTAGAATAAAAATCTGGTTTCCAATATTACTTCCAAATAAGATAACTGTCTCAATAACACGTTTGCCCAAAGATTTAACATGTAGTTTAGTCTCATTACATAAACCATTTTTCTGATCAATGTTTATCAATAACATAACTGAGACACCGACTTTTAAAATGAGCTTATGGTTTGGAAGACCTGAGACTTTAAGACCATTTAAAACATCAGGTGAGTATAAATTTGCATCAAACTCATCATGAACAAAATCGGATCGGCATAGGCTATCTGAACTTAAGTATTCTTTTTGTTCTCCTAGAAACAACGACAACAAACGATCGTTTTTTTCTTGGACAACTTCATTATTGGGAGCTAGTATTGCTCTTTCTTGAAAATAATCAGCAATGTTGAAGTTTTCCAATATAGAAGGATATACAAAACTGATTAATGAACCTATAGGATCATGTGGATTAGTAATAACAATATCTCGTGGAATATCAACAATCGCTTCACCGTCATTCGGACCACCAAGATTACCTTCTCCTATGTCCAAAAGCCAAGCTGCAAAATCCCTTATTTTTTCAATAGCAGATGGATCGCTTCCAACAGTTAACCTCATGTTTTTTGTTAATTTATGAACTTTGCATTGTTGCAATAAATAAGAAGAACTTAAAGAAGCATTAATAATGTTTTGTTTACTGCTACCTGGAAAATAGGTAGAATTTATCTGAAATCACCTCCAAAAACAATCACTTTCTCTCTAAATGGAATATTTGAATTCGTAGGATTGGCACTTTAATATATCCTTCAAAGTTCGATCTAAAGCTTCGAATGCATGTTTATGTACCATGGGTGCTTTATCCCAAATGATCAATGAAGTTTTTCTTACTAAACTAGCAAAATCACTTTTTTGATTTATTGAACAAAAAGAATCCTCGGTGAGATTTATGGGAATTATAAACCGAGAGTGTGCTATCTTGCCACCAGTCAATAATAATGAAGCTATCCCACTTGAAGCAACATTTAAAACAATTTGACCTTGAGCTCTAATTGCTGCATCATAGTTTTATTTTTATTTTCATTTATGCTTTACTTTTATGCAAAGAAAAATTAAAAACTATACATGAGTAATTATTTACACATAGGGACCATTTATGTAAATATATTTAAATAATGATCATTCACGCAAGCAGGTTAGTACTTATTGTCTTTTTTAGATAAACAAAATAGTCAATACAGAAAAATAATAACAGAATAGGGCAGCCCCTATCTCTTTCATGAATATTTATTTTCCTACCATTAGTTTGCAAGGTATATATGAATATTATAAGAATCACACTCACTTCAAAATGGTATATGGAAGTGAGTGTTTAGTTTAGTTTAATGTCACTTGTAATTAACAACACATATTTGTGATAGTTTAGTTTAATGGTATATGGAAGTAGATAATTTTTTTTACAGAAATGGTGTAATTACAGATGCATAAACAAAATACTCAATGCAGAAAAACAATATCAATTTATTAAAGATAAACAATATCAATTCTTTGATGTGTATATAGTTCAATGATCGACATGTTTTGGTTACGATAATCACAGCAACACTCAAAATCAGTAAACTTTTTGTTGCAATTAGGTATCAACAGGGCATAATCGTCAATAACATAGACATCAACAATGAAAGTATGAACAGATTATTGTCAATAACCTTCCGTACACAACAGGGAACAATCGTCAATATATTAAAGATTAAAGAGAAACAATATACAATATAATTTTTTTGATGCGTATATAGTTCAATGATAAATAGGTTTTTGTTAAGAAGAAAAAAGTATACGCATACCAGGAGGAGAAGGAGAACTATAAACAGAAGAACAATACTTAATTCAACAGAAGAAAAAATATACATGAGAATGAATTACCAAAGTAGCAGTGAAGAAGACATACAGAGAACGAAATTATGAAAGACGCAAAGGTAAACAAATCATTTAATATTTAGATAAAGATGTATATGTAAATGTGATAAATGATAAAACAAATGCAATTAGTTCCTATTATAATGCATATATAATGGGTAAAAGATAAATCAAACCAATTCAAAAATATTCAAAATTGCTAATAATATGGCAACATAGTTGCTAATTAGTAGGAAAATTCAGAAAATATCATTTCATTTAAATGTGATTTATAGGGAAAGATTTTGTATTTAAATTTTGTAATTTTGTAATTGGTTTTGGTAGTTAATGTAGTGGGCGGGATTTTTTTTTTCTGCACAAATCTGAGAAAAAGACACGTGGAAGGATGGTGTGTAATGAGGTGACATGTGGCATTTAGGGGAGATAATTATTAGGAATGAAGATATGTAAATATTTTCTTTATTTAATGCATTCCAATCAATTAATAGAGAAAACTAGAAAATTATGCATTTTTTATTTTTCCATATAACTTTATCTTTTAATTCATACAATCTATTACTCTACAAAGATTAATGTAGCATATTTTTGAAAATACACATATTTCAACCATTATTATTAAGAGCGAAATCTTGGTTGTTGGATTATACATCCTAAAAATAAAAAATGATCTAAATTGCAATATGATCATTTTGTAGCAAAATCAGGACCTAGGATCTGACAGAAATAACGGGTGCTAAACAGGAAAGTGGACAATCAAGAATTTGGGTTTCTCAATAATCGTGTCAGTTCACTTTAGGTATCGATAGTTTTCCTTATGTTAATTTAATTTGGTATAGTCCCTAAGAACATATAATATTTTTGGCATAAGCAAAAATGTTTTGGAGAAAATCAGAATTATTCAAATTTATTAGTTAACACCAAAAGTGGAGAAATATGAAAATTGTGAACTGCAATTGAAAAATAGTTCTCGGAAAAACTATCCAAAGTGTTTAAGCTCAGGCTGCTATATCCCGAAAAAAAACTATCCAATTGAAAATTTATATAATAGGCAGCTTGACAGTTAATATAACTTCGACTACAAGATTGGATGTCAATAGTTTCTTCAATGATCCTTCATTTTGATCATGTTTTTTTCATTACATCTTAAGTCCAGAATTATATAGTGGTTATGGGGCATTGACTCAAACCCAAGAGGTTGCGCTCCCTTATGGGTTCAAGGGACCACAACAAGGACCTCCGCATCTTGGATAACGCAATAGGCGCTTCACATTGACCTCTCATAAGGAGGCAAACTCCTCGACCTCATATTTTGTTGTGTTCGATATTAAACTTGTCTTATATTCAAGTGAACGCTTCACCATCTAACTTGTATTAAACCACAATTTACATTCCCATTGATACTCATGTTTATTCCAATTACACTAAATGATCCATGACACTAAAATCACTAATATGATTGTAAGATTGTATAATGACCTGATCCCGTTTTTTGTATATGTGTGTTTTTTTTAGTGTATAAAAATGTAAATTCAATAAGTCTTCACTAACGGTAGAAAATTAATTTCACATAATAATTCAATAAACCAACATCTAGCCATAAATATTGTCCTTTTGACTCGAAATCAAGCCTTAAATTGTGTCCTCAAAGTTGAAAATTGGACATTACATATCACATAAAGCCACTTACAGCCTCTTAACTTCGCGAGTTATTTATTTATTCTATGATTTTATGATTCTTTACAAATATATATTTTTTTATGTATCATGTATTGATTTCATTGCACTTGATAAAAAAAAGTTTTATGAGAAAAAATAATTGTACTACATAAAGGCAAAATGATATGAGCGCATCATTTGTAATGCATAACCCTATGATGTAATGTTTTTGTTCATTTCTATCTAACACCTAGCTAGCTTTAATATTATTTCAACCGTTCAAGAAAAATATTATGTATTATGTTGCAAAATGAAAACGATCTTATATATTTGATAACATTGATTTCAATGGGCAGCAAACTTCAAATCTAGAGTATGTTGATTGGCATCGCAATACAATTGGATTTAATTTATTCCAAGTCAACTGAACATTTTACCTCATTTAACATAAATTATGGAGGTTGTTTGTTTTCTACTATTTTGTTTATCTATTTTTATTTTTTATTCCAAATATACCGTTGTTTTTGAAATAAATGACACTACTGCTGGTGGAGGAAAAAGAAACAACATCCAAGATGGCCTAAAGATATAATTTTGAGTGTTGGGGGAAAATAGTTACTTGTAATGGTCCCACTTCTCACTTTGTTTATTCATTGTTCCAAATTTATATTAAAAAATATATATATTGCATTTTGGAAGTTTATGAGAAAGAAGGGAGTGAGCGTAGTATATATAAAGCTTCACATACAACCACATGAGATGTGTGCTTCTTCTTCTTCTTTCCTTCTCCCAATTTCTTTGACCTTCTTGTCTCTTTGACCTGCAACCATATTAGACAATTTGATTTTGATTTTGATTTTGAAATCATCCCCGTCTAATTGTTCTTGGTGAAAGCTAAAGGTACAACTCTTTTATACACATTTTACCGCAAATGTACAATCCTAATTAAGTTTCAAATCTAGCTCCATAGACTGCATCAGAACACTGATCTGATCTGTCAAAGTTATCGTCTTTTATGAGCAAAGAAACAGGAACATGACATCGGAGTCCTGTACCACTTAATAAAACAAGAAATCTTTAATTTAACTTTTAGTTTCGAGTTGATTCTTGATGAATCATGACGAATGAAGTTTTGCTTTGTAGCAGGAGATTTTTCTGCCATGGAAGTCGCTCAAGATATTGGAATGAAGAAAGAGGAAGTAATCCCATCGCTAATCAGATCCATTGATGCTAACGAAATTGCTGGATTTGATTTTGCACTTATGGTATGTTTTTTTTTATTTGAATCGTTTGAGAGATGTGTTCATTAATGTTCTTGAAAATTTACTGAATTTGTTATTTGATTTTGTTAGGATTCTGTGGGAAATAATAACGAAGGGGAATGCTCGAATCTTCACTTGAACCACCATATAACACCGTCGATTTCAATCAGCATGCCACCGTCTCCGATGAAAACCCACCTGCAAACCCCCAAAAGAGTTGCATTCAGTCCCGACGTTGAACTCGACAGAAAGAGTCAACTACCAACCACTAATCACGCCACCAGATTCCATTCTCAACCCATACCCACCGGCGTCGGTTTTGAAGCAGCTGTAGCCGCCGGAAAATCCCCCAATCTGCCTGTGAGAAACCCCAGAATCGAAAAACTAAAAGACGAAAGATACAACTCATTCAAAACTTGGTCAGGTAAACTCGAGAGAAATCTCTCCACTTTACGAGGAAAACCACCGACTGATCAACCGCCGGTGAACACCCCCCGCGAAAATTTGCCTGTTGATCGGTATTTCGATGCATTGGAAGGACCAGAGTTGGATACTCTCAGGGTACGTAATATGTTCGACTCTCCCCTCCTCCGGTTGAAAGTTTATCAAATTATTTCAGTTTTTAACAGTTTGTGCTGTCTTCTTTAACAGCCATCGGAGGAAATAATTCTTCCCGACGACAAACAATGGCCGTTTCTTCTCCGGTATCCGATCTCATCATTTGGTATATGCCTCGGTGTCAGCAGTCAAGCGATCATGTGGAAGAATTTGGCGTCGACGCCTTCCACACATTTCCTTCATATAAGCCCGAATGTGAACTTAATTCTATGGTGCATATCAGTCGTTCTTTTCGTGGTTGTGGCTTCGACTTACCTTCTGAAAATGGTTCTTTATTTCGAAGCTGTTCGTCGGGAATACTACCATCCCATTCGAGTCAATTTCTTCTTCGCTCCATGGATCGCATTACTGTTTTTGGCCTCCGGAGTTCCACCTTCGGTGACCACAAATCTACCACATTTTCTATGGTATGTTCTTATGACACCCATTTTCATCCTGGAGCTCAAGATTTATGGGCAATGGATGTCCGGAGGGCAGCGGAGGCTATCCAAGGTGGCGAATCCGTCTAATCATTTATCGGTGGTCGGAAACTTCGTCGGGGCGTTGTTGGGTGCGTCGATGGGTTTAAAAGAAGGTCCGATCTTCTTCTTCGCCGTCGGATTAGCTCACTACACGGTGTTGTTCGTGACTCTGTATCAGAGACTTCCGACCAATGAAACTTTACCAAAAGAGCTTCATCCTGTTTTCTTTCTGTTTGTTGCTGCTCCAAGTGTTGCTTCAATGGCGTGGGCGAAAATCAATGGATCCTTCGATTATGGCTCTCGTCTCGCTTACTTCATCGCCATGTTTCTTTACTTCTCACTGGTTCGTTTCATTTTCGAAAAAAGAATCTACAAGTTGATTATAATTTTTTGTTTTTGAGTGGAAATTAATTAAATAACTTTTTTATAATTTACAGGCAGTCCGAGTGAACTTTTTCAGAGGATTCAAGTTCTCGTTGGCATGGTGGGCATATACTTTTCCGATGACCGGAGCTGCAATTGCAACAATTACATACACAAACGAAGTCTCAAACATAGTCACTAAATCTTTATCGACTACTCTCACAGTAGTTGCAACCCTAACAGTCTTCGGCTTACTGATAACCACAATTCTGCATGCTTTTGTGATGAGAGATCTCTTCCCGAATGACATCGCCATTGCAATCAGTGATCGGAAGCCAAAAACTGTTCGGAAATGGTTCCACCGGAGGACCGGCAGCACTGAGAAAGATATTGAACATTACCTTAAATTTGTGACTTCCGATGTGGAGGGTTCTGTGGAACCCTCATCCACAGAGGAAAAGCGCACCAAAGACGTTGAAAGCCAAGTTCCATTGCCATGAAATACATGGAGGATTCGCCGATAAGACAATGGAGGAACTTGGGCCTCCGAGTTCCGATGATGTTGGATGTCAAGAGTGAAAGAGTTGTGTGTGAAAGGAATAGTAGATTAAGAATGTTGATGAGTTGTAAATTTGGTGTAATAATGTTACGATATTATTAGTTGTAAATTTGGTGTAATGATGTTATGATATTATTAGTTGTACGTTTCCATTCTATTCAATGATTGAGCATCACTTAATTCATTGTACCTACTTGATCGCTTTGATTTTTGGTTGACCCTATCATATATTTTTAGATGAATTTTGTTCTCGGATTATTTGTTTTTGATCATCTGAAGATGTTATGAGTACCGAGGATTGGTCTCATAGGTTTTCGTACAACTCACGCTACTCGTGTTTCTGAAAGAACATTAAGAAAGAAATAAAGTCCCCCTAACTTTACATCATTGTTGATATGAACTCAAATTACCACGTGTTTCGTTATCCATCCACAATTATAAATCGTATTTCAACCTCTGAGTGCCGTGGAATACAAACCGCAACCGGAATCCATATTAATCTGGACAACTACTCAGCTTCCAAACCATCATTTGTGTGTGATATATTCGACCCACGTGACCCAGGCCCATTCTCAGGCAAGTAAAGCCCATTCCCCTGCAAATGAACACCTCTCGTATGGCTATGGCTAGTTGAATTTGTCATTAAACAATGAATGTCCCATTTGTTTCAAAAAAACAATACTCTTTGTAAGAAAAAATCAAGTTGCGGAATTAGGTCCTAAACGGTCAAAATCATGATTTTTGAAAGTTGGTCAAGTCATACGATGATGCAACAAATGAATCAAAACCTATACCTAAGTAAATAATTTGCATACAATTAATAATAAAATTACAAGGTCCTCTAAATATTCAAGTGTTAACCTTTCACTAATGTTCATTAATCCTTCAACCATTTCAAAATAGCAACGTTAGACACGGGAAGTCTAATATGTAAAGTTGGAGTTTGACTTCTGAATGGAATTCGATAATGACAATAATCTAATTTCAAAGACAAACTCTAAAAATATTTTCAAACCCATTTTATATTTACTAGGTATATTGGGATAAAAAGAAATGTGTAATTACTAATAACCAATTCAAAATCAAACCCAAGTAATGCAATCCACTTATTTTTAAATTCTCAACCTAAGTTTCTACACTCAAAACAAGTTAGTAGCATCACATCCAAAGCCTATTTAAAGGCCCAACAACCAATACCGACATTTTGGAAACATGTAACCATCACACATGAAACCATGAAATGGATTACAAAGTCCATCACTGAGAGTTATAGTTTAACCGTCCATGAAGAACGGAAATGGAGTTAAACTCAAAAGTGCACGAGAAACACTCAGGTTTTAAAATGTTTTAAAACATGTTTCATGTATGCAACAATAATATATAAAGTCATACGAACACTTTAAAAATGCATATAAAGGATGCTTAAAACATGTTTTAAAATACAATATAACATTCCTCAAACGAACACTTTAAAAATATGTTTCATGTATGCAACAATAATATATAAAGTCACATAGCAATCAAGAATACTATAATATTGAATTATGCCAAAATATTTACCAAAAAATTAGCAATAGAGACATTTACTCTTGATATTTACTCAATTTCACTTTCTAATACTTACTGGAGAGTTAAAAATCACCTTATAAAATATTCTTAGTTATAATCACTAATATAATTCTATGTGTAATTTCAACTTATTTAGCCCAATTCAACCCTAAACATGCATTTCTTATCCCTAAGGCAACAATGAATATGATCGAATGCCTTTATGAATCCCGATGTCCTAAGATCAAGTTACAAAGTTCTTTAGTATGTAAACAAGGAGAATACACGGGCCATGTCATTTTCCAAAGGATTTCATGTTGTCATTATGACGTTGAGGTCATATAAAGATGTGGTTTAGGAGTAAGATTTAAAATGTGTTTGTTAATTGTTCTTAGAAAACAATAAGACAATCCAAAACATATATAACTCTAACATACCTTGATCTTTATTTTCAAGAAAAATCTCTTATTTTTTATTTTTTATATTTTGATTAATTTAAAAATAAAAGATTTTTCTGAAATTAAACAAATAATTACACAATTATCACAAATAAAAATAAAACTAAAACATTTCTATAATTGTTTTTTATTTGTTATAGCTGTTGCGGATAAATTACCTTCTATTGTTTAAGAAGATTGTTGTTCACATGCCACATAAAATATTCTTGTATTTTTTTTTATCCCATTATCTTCTTACATACTTAAGCTTATGTATTTGTCACATTTAATAAAATTAATATATTTTTAAAAATATTTTTCATCATCTAAAAATAATAGGAGGATATGTATGAAGAATAAGTAGGAGAATATTAAATTTCTCAATTAATTTTAATTAATTTTAATTAATTTTAACTAATTTACCTAACTTTTAATTTAACTGTGTCTTTGTTTATATGGTTGTTGTATACTTGTAAATTGTAATATCTTAAATATATTTTTTGATATACATCAAGTATGATTTTTTTTTTTTTTTTTTGGTAAATTAGTAAAATATTGTTACTCGAAATTAAAATTTTGTTACGAATAAGTGTACAACCGTTTTTGTAAAGTACTATCGCTTGGGCTTGGGCTTGGGTTTGTGTTTGGTCTCTGTCGAATAACACCCAAAAAAAATGACTCATACTGAACCATTAACGTTACGGGCTTACGGGCATACACACAAGCAGATGGGTTTCGATACATGGCCACATGGGGATTTACTTTTCTTAAAAATTCAAGTGTCATATCCTAACTATTTTATAAAGTCTACTCATCTATTTCTTTTGGTAAAAAGCTAGACAAATTGCAAAAATGGTCCTCGTGGTATGTCAAAACTAGCAAGTTTGGATCAAAACGGTTTTGGCTTGCATCAATGGTCAAAAAGTTTCATTTTTTTGAAAGTTTGGTCCAATTTGATTTGAATTTTTTTAATCCACGTGTCCTCCTATAAATTAACCATTAGATTTTTTAGGATAAAATCATATATTTAATAAAATTTAACATTATCCACTTCAAAAAAAAATAATACTGAAAATTGTAATTTTTATTACCTATAAAAAGAGTATGAAATCATATATCTTCATATCCAATCCTCACTTTGTATTTTAATCCATTTTTATATGTATTTTCTAAATATGGATGGTGAGTTTCCAAAATTTCATATAAATTTTGGAGACTCTCAAAATCGTTCTAATGCTCAGTATTTTGAAAATTCTTCGTTTTTTTCAAATCCTAACCAAAATCCTGTCACAAATAATCTTCAAACATCACAAAATACTGAAAAACAACCACGAGGAAATAATTGGGATGCTGCAGAAGATGTCGCTATAATGTCAGCATGGTGTTTTACTAGTGAAGATAAGGAGCGTGGAAAAAACCAAAAAAAAAAAGCATCATTGTGGGCACAAATAAAGCAACTGTATGATGCCGCTCGGGTTGAAAATACAGAAAAACTAAATAGCAGGAACGAAGATCAAACGAGAGGTCGTTTTAAACGACTTAGTGAAAATGCACAAAAGTGGGTTGATGTGTATCGGGAAGCATGACGTCGAAGAAGAAGTGGAATGAGTCAAAAAGATATTGAAAACGAAGCTCATAAACTTTATGAGGCGAGTGGGACTAAGTTCAACAACATTATTGTTTTTAATGAAGTTATATGTAAACATGAGAGGTGGCCTTTAGAGTTAGATCGTGACACAACACGTTCCCGTCCTGAATGTGAAGTGGGTAATGAAGAAAGTGGTGGTAGCTCGAAAAGATCAAAGACTACTGAAGAATGGGAGTTTTGTTTCTATTCCAACCCAGAAACGCAAACTAGTGATGGTTCAACGGTTAAACGTCTAACAGGCAGAGATGCAGCAAAAAAAAAAAGGGAAAGGTAAGGCTTCTAACGAAATTGTTACAAAACTTCGTGGAATGAGGCTTGCTAGAGAAAGTGAACTTGAAGTCATGAAAAAAAAAGAATCCACTTGTATAAAGAAATGCAGCAACAAAGAATCGGCTTAGACAAGGAAAGGGGGAAAAAAACAGATGAAAGGAAACTCGTCAAGATGCAACTTGTGCATTTGAACACATTGCTACAAAAGGAGCATTTATTGCTTGAAGAAGAAAACATGAAACACTTTCTAATGTTGAAGTTTTATAGAAACTAATTATCGGTCATCATGTGTTTTATATTTCCAGATTATCTTTTAATTAACTTGTAAAATATTTTATTATGTAGTTTTGTGTGTTATGTATTTGTAAGATATTGTAATTTTGTATTTCACGTATTTGTTATATATTTATTAAGTAATGTTGTTTATAAATCTGTTTTGCACATGGAGTTGTCAGTAGGCCTGTAGCACACTTTGTCATCTACCAAATCAAATATTATCTTTATTTCTATGTGTCACTTTCGTATTGGATGCTTAGATTTTATTTAGATAAACTAATAGAATATTATTTTTGTTTTTTATCATTATCTTTTTAGTATAAATAGGTATATCACTGGCATACTTTGATATCCAACACTAACTCTTCATTTCTTATCTCTTTGAAAAATGACTCATAATGAAAACTCATCGAGTTCAAATGAATATTCAGAACGGGAAACACGGGTTGTTCAAAATAATCGACAACTCGATGAAATCATCACTGAATTATTCATACAAGATCATCCTCCCAGAGCAAGAAGGAGGTATTGCGATCGAGAACATGATCAGGGTGAGGCACATTTAATGGAAGACTACTTTGATATCCAACACTAACTCTTCATTTCTTATCTTTTTGAAAAATGACTCATAATGAAAACTCATCGAGTTCAAATGAATATTCAGAACGGGAAACACGGGTTGTTCAAAATAATCGACAACTCGATGAAATCATCACTGAATTATTCATACAAGATCATCCTCCCAGAGCAAGAAGGAGGTATTGCGATCGAGAACATGATCAGGGTGAGGCACATTTAATGGAAGACTACTTTGTTGACAGCCCAACATATGATCAAGCAACCTTTCAGCGTAGATTTCGTATGCAAAGACCATTATTTATCCATATAGTGACAGCTGTTACAGCCAATGACCTATATTTTCAACAAAGGCGTGATGCCACAGGTACACAAGGTCTTTCACCATTGCAGAAATGTACGGCAGCTATCCAGGTCTTGGCGTATGGGACATCAGCAGATGCACAAGATGAATATATGAGAATGAGTGAAACTGTAACAAGGGATGTTGTAATAAAGTTCTTAGAAGGTGTCATTGCATGTTTCGGTGAAAAGTATCTTAGAAGGCCAAATGAAGTTGATTTTGCAAGACTACTTCATGTGGGGGAGGAACGTGGATTTCCAGGTATGATAGAAAGCATTGATTGTATGCAGTAGACATGGAAAAATTGTTCCACTGCTTGGGCTGGACAATATGCAGGTAGAAGCGGTAAACCAACAATCATTTTGGAAGACGTTGCATCGTATGACTTATGGATATGACATGCATTCTTTCGAGCACCAGGTACATGCAATGACATTAACGTCCTCTATCGGTCTCCAATTTTTGATGAGGTCTTAGCAGGTCGGGCACCAAATGTGAGTTATGTTATGAATGGTCATTAAATAATATGGCATATTATCTCACTGACGGCATATATCCCTCATGGGTTGCTTTTGTCAAGTCAATAACTCCCCCCCCCCCCCAACTTCGAAAACACAAGTTGTTTGCTGAACATCAAGAGGCCGCTAGAAAAGATGTTGAACGAGCATTTGGAGTTCTACAAGCTCGTTTTGCATTTCTTCGACACCCATGTCTTTTGTGGGACAAGGATATGATGGGGAAAATTATGATTGCATGTATTATCATTCATAATATGATTGTGGAGGATGAACGTTGCACATACCTTCATTATTATGATCCATCCGAATTTCTAAATGACAGGCCTACAAACCGGAAACGAAGAACCTATATTGAAGATGACGATCAAAATTTAGAATATTTCACTCAACGAATTGTAGACCTATCCAGTTATATGTCTAATAGGGCACAACTTCGTAATAGATAAGCTCATAACATTCTGAAAAACAATTTAATTAAGCATATATGGCAAAAATTTGGCATTGATAGATAATTATGTAGTTTGCATCTTCGTATCTGTAATCTTATATTTCATGTTTTAATTGTAACTTTGTTTATCTATTTTATTAAGTTTGTTTTATAAGTATAAAATATTTTTTTTAGTTTTATATTTAAAATAAATAATTTATTAATAGAACTAAATTAAATATTTTAAAATTTTTCTAATAAATATTAGTAGAGTAAAAAATAATCTTAAAATTTATTATTTATATAATAAAAAAATGGTTTTAGTTGGTTTGCTAATGGGTGTAAGAATTTGGGTTTAGTTGGGTTGGGTATGTGGAAGAGAGAGAAACTATTTAATTAATGGATAGTTTGGTTGATTTTCATTGTGAATGGGAGTAGTCTAAAGGATTGTGTTTGGTTAGATTGTATATGTGGAAGATAGATAAATTAATTTTTTAATAGATAAAATGGTTGGGTTGGGTTACTTGTGTTTGGTGAGATTCTATACGTGGAAGATAGATAAATTAATTTTTTAATAGACAAATTGGTTGGGTTGAGTTGCTAATAAGGATAATCTAATAAAACAAATTAATTAGTCAAAAAGATATCTAGATATAAGACTAAATATAACTAAAATAGTATAATGAAAACTAGACAACAAATTTGATCTTTATAGTTTGAAAAAAAAATATGGATATAGTTCAAAAAGTTTATGATGTGTATGAAAAGTTTAAAATCAGAAATTTTCTTGGAATTTGTTTCCAGATAAACTTAAAAAAGACATTTTTGTCATTCTAATTTCTTTTTTGCTTTTTTGTTTTCATTAACACTTTGTTAATTTAAAAACAAAAGAAAAATAAAAAATGGCCTCTCTCTCTCACACAAACACACATAAACAAACACATATCCATAACGATCATTCATTTCATACATAAACATCCAAATCTCCAAATTAATGTCAAATTGTAATATTCGGACTACTATGTATATTAATTATTTTTTTTATTTTGAGATCTATTGAGAAACTCGACGAGTTCGTGCCTCAACTCGTTGAGTAGAGACTGATTGACCATGTGGGTCTAATATTCGACTCAACGAGTCAGAGAGCCAACTCGCCGAGTTGGCACTGAGAAATGAACCCTAAATCCCCGGGGTTGGGGCCTATTTAAGAGAACTTATGACCTCATTTGTGCCTTACCAGCTACCCAACTTCCCTATGTGAAACCCTAACCGTGTGTAGTGAGCTAAGAGAGTTCCAAGGCTAATCTTTGAGTATTTTAGTGTATCTTTTGAGGAGAATATGGAGGTTGTCCAGCAAGGAACGAGGAGAAACTGTTGGAATCAGTGTTATATTGTCCAGAGCTTTTATGGAAGGTAAAAAGCCTACACCTTTCTCATCTTAATGGTTAAATCTCATGATTAAGGAAGTTTAAGGTTCTTACCACCTTTTTATTGGGACATTGAGTGCATTGAGTCTATCACGAGGTCTAGACTTCAGATCTGGACCTTGTGAGGTCCATAAAGTCCAAAGGTCCCAGTTTTATTCAACCATATAAGAGTTATTGAGCTTAAACATCTTTATTAGAGTTGTATTGGCATTTTGCAGCAAAATATGTCATAGATGAACATAAAGATCGAAGCTTTACGTGACATTCGAGCCTTGGGATCCTAGATCTAGAGTGTGGAGTGGTAGATCTGCCTTAAAATATCTTAACGAGAATTCAGACTGAAGGGACCCCTCGAGTCAACGAGATGACTCGACAAATCGGCTAGGGTTTTCCTCGATGAGTCTGGACATAGGTAACTCGGCAAGTTGACGGGACAACTCGACGAGTTGAGTTGGGTTTTCGCGATGTTCTGAAGAAACAAAGGGGACTCGGCGAGTCACATAGATGCACTCAGTGAGTCTGGTCAACATGAACAGTTGACGCGGGTGTTGACTTTAGGGTTTGGTCAAGGTAGAGAGAATGGGAACCATGGAGGGGTAAAATGGTCTTTTACCCATCCCGAGAGTTTGAGAGAGACAATAACCTAGTTTATTTTGAGTCGTGATTTAGGTGTTAATTAGAGATTAGTATCTTATGTGTTAGGCGGAGGCTAGTACGAGATTTGTGTACGAGATTATTACTTGCTAGCTTACGAGGTGAGTCTTTTCACTATACTTTACCTAGAGTGGTAATCTTAGAGTGACCAGAGGGTCTTATGTGTTATATTGAGTATTGTGATATCCTGCATTATGTCTTTGTGATTTGTGCTATGTATTATTCTGAGCTACTAAGTTAGGAACGGAGGGTCCACCCGAGCTGTGGGACCATAGGGTCCCACTAAGACACATTCACCGGAGGGTCTTATCAAGTTATAGCCTCGAGTGACTAATGATATGTGTGTGGTATTTTGGGGAACTCACTAAGCTTCATGCTTATCGTGTTATATGTTACGTGTTTCAGGTACCTCTCATGATCACGGGAAGGCACCGACTTGATAGTACACACTAGAGCGAGATTATTTTATGATTCTGGGATTGTGATTTTTACTTGTGGATTTCTTGACATTTGAGATACTTGTGGTTTTTGAGAAAATGTACATGAGTTTTATTGTGTTTTAAAATGAAAATTTTGTTTGAAAATTTACGGTGTTACAAGTTGGCATCAGAGCCTTGGTTTGAGGGATTCAGATGCACCTCCAGGTGTGTTTGGATTCCAACTGAGGATTTAAGGACAATTTTCAAAACAAATAATTTTTTTTTAAAATAAGATAGGGTTTTAAGAGAAAATGAGTTAGAGCAATGTGTACAATCAGCCAGAGCCCGAATGGTGATTTCCCAA